ATATCATATGCTGAAAATAGCATGCACTTAACATGCGAGAAACGAACAAGTTTTAGGCAAAAATGGAAGCAAAAAGATCACTTACACTGAGAATCAGGAAGAGACTTGAAATATTTACGGCTTATAACGAGGAAAGAAGGCTTAGAAAATTCGAGACACAAGGGGCCTATGAAAGTCAAGAGAAAGAAATACATCACTTAATCTACCTAACGAGGTTGGCAGAACAGAGTTCAAGAGATACAGAAAAAAGTTAAATTTTAGTAGGGGATACAATGGACGGGAAGTTATGGAGAGACATGATCGCCCACTTCCTGAAAGGCGGCGGCACATAGAAGAAGAAGAAGAAGAAGAAGAAGAAGAAGAAGAAGAAGAAGAAGAAGAAGAAGAAGAAGAAGAAACAGATCACATAATATAAAAAAGAGAATTTCATCCAATCACTATTGATTTGCGTAAATTCAAAAACTTGTAGAATTTGCATTTCCTGAAAAGAGATAAATACATTTTGCAGCAGGTGGTCAGTTGTAAATTAACTAAAAAAAATGTCATCTCGTCAAAACAAATCGACGTCATACAACTCCTTTGGGATTAAACAAAAAACAAAAAACAAAAACAGCAAGAAGTGAAATTTGATGTCAGTTTTTTCTAAGTCAATACGACAGTACTTGTCTTGTGAACTGAACGATGACATTTACTAAAAATGTAGGGATTACTGCCACATATACACATCCATACATAACACAGACCAGTTAGCGTTGCTAAAGCGGTAGCCGGATGTGATAAGTCAAGAAGTTCAAACTAATAAAAATTTGGTTCTGGGCATTGGGATCGACGCACATCTTCCGGCAACAACTTTCAAATAAATATTAGGTCGGTGCAAAAATAATGACGTAATAATGTCGTTTTTTGACGTATTTTTTAACGTCAAAAATGACATTATTACGTCATTATTTTTGCACCAACCTAATACAATCGCTAGTTCTAATTCGTACATATTTAAGTCCCTGCTATTTACCTTGAACTCCTTGATAAAATCCAAAGAAGAATCAGCAGTATTATTGGTCCTGATCTGGTAGATCGGCTTCAGTCACTTTCCCACCGACGTAAGGTTACCTCCCTGTGTCTTTTCTATAAATACTTCCATGGTAATCGTTTGGATGATGACCTCTTCGCTAGACTTTCTAAATTTAATCGCAGTACGAGAGTGACGTCGAGATCTCATTAATTTACAGTTGAGCGGGCTAGGTGCAGCCCTAAGTCCTATGATAAGAGTTACATTTCTCGCACTTCTCGCTTGTGGAACTCCCTTTCGCGTTCATTTTTTCCAGCCAACTTCAATCTGTAAATATTTAAATGCAATGTCAGTTGCTAACACCTGTCCTCCTGAATACCCTTTCTGCTCATTATTAATGTTTCTGTTCTTAATTCTTACATATCCTGTAACCACTTTGTCTTAGTGCATTTACTGCCTTGCAGGCGGTGATATCGAATAAGATTATATATATATATATATATATATATATATATATATATATATATATATATATATATATATGAATATATAGTCTTAAGGTATGCTATATTTATGGGATAAAGTGCTCACTATCAGAGATAGTCAGGTGGCCTGACGATTGCGTCCAGCATGAAACAAACTGTCGTCTCTAAGTGTTGACTTCAATGTTCACTTATATATATATATATATATATATATATATATATATATATATATATATATATATATATGTGTGTGTGTGTGTGTGTGTGTGTGTGTGTATGTATTAGTGGTGACTCCGGGGGTCGGGCTTGGCCGAGAGAGACAACATTCTATTCAAAACGTTGATAAATTAATTTAAGATATATATATATATATATATATATATATATATATATATATATATATATATATATATGGCATAAAAGAATCAAATAAAACATCTACAGTAAAATGGAAATTAATAAGAAAAGTTGGAATATGTAGGTCATTAAATGACCCATGTCTTTTGTGCATACATGAGAAACAATATATTATTAAGTTTATAAAAAATAAAAATTTACTGAATCAGAGAAATGAAATAGCTGTTTTCTGCCGTCATTGACAGAACTTTTACTTAAATAATATTGAAAAATAAAATTAAAAATGGGAGCTGGTAATATACTTACTTATATTTGATATGAAAAAATAATTTAAATAATATAAGTAATTCTATTACATTTACTCGGTTTTAAAAAGAAATGTAGTCTATTAGTTATTAAGAGTCAAAAATATTTTAAAATTGTAGTTAAATAAAACGTATTCTAACACAAACACACCTAAAATGAATCTTTAAGTATACAAGTAAGAAAAAATGCCGAAAAAATTTTGCCGTTAATAAAAAAATCCCAGACGACATGCATTTAATGGATGTCAGAATTCGTTGGAAAATACGCCCCTACCCTCCCTAAACTTAGCCTCTTTTTTGAAAATAACTCACAATTGATACAAAAATGGTTAATAAAAATAAACACATTACCGCCCCTGTTTGAATGATTGGATTTCTCTGTATCCTTGGAAACAGTAACTTATGAATTTATATGTGCGTTTAAAACTCAGTAAATTTTAAAACATAAGTTATTCCAATATTCGCTTGAAGATGAAACGGAAACAATGCTTTTAATTTTTATTTTTATTTTAATTTAATTATATTATTACATTAAAAATTTTTAGCTTCCATTTTTGAATCATGGTTATTACTGTGTAGCGAAAAAAAAACATATTTTCAATCAGTTAATTTATATAATATTTATGCTCTGTAAATTTACATTGAGCACTGTTTTGTAAAAATAAATAAATAAATAAATATATATATATATATATATATATATATATATATATATATATATATATAATAATGATCAAACACTAATATTCGATGGTTATAATTTATTACATTGGGATCGTAATCACGATCCAATTCAACAACCTACAAATTCAAAAGTTTTTGAATTTGTAGGTCTAATGAATTGATCGTGATTACGATTCCAATGTAATAAATTATAACCATCGAATATTAATGTTTGAGCCTTTTTTATTATCTTCTTATTCTGTCCTGGACATTGAGTTCTTCCTGGATTCTATCCTCTTGGGAATTTATATATATATATATATATATATATATATATATATATATATATATATATATTTTATGTATTTGGGCAGCTCGCTTGTGAGACGTCCTTCTCTCTCCATAATATCCAACCAACTTTAATGTGCAAAGATTTAACTGCAGTGTTAATCGCTATCTTCTTCTTCATGAGCAATTTTTTTCTCTTCTAGCTCATTATTAATGTTTCTGTTGCTAATAATTCCACACCCTTTAACCCCTTTGTCTTAGTGGCTTTAAAGCCTTGCATGTTGTGATTCCAATGAAAATGATAATCAAAAGTTCCAAGGAAGAAGCTATACGAGGGATGTTCGTCGTTGTTAACAAAGTGAAAGCGGAAGATTCGATGCTCTGACCTAGGTTTGAGGGTAGCAAAATCTGATACATATAGAAGTTTAACTGGGCAGTATGACGAAAAACAACGGAAAAAGTGTGACCCCCCCCCACATCCGAAGTTGGGGAGGAATAGAGTAAAATACCTTCCAGAATTTGAGCAATGTTACCTTCCATATCAAAATATCGCGATGAGCAAGAAAAGACCTCTGAACTATATAGTATCTAATCTCCTTTATGGCAGTAAATACAGAACTTTCTCCTCAAAGATGAAGCATATTCAGATTTTTTTAAAGCATTTCACCCCAAGCAAGGCGGGAGTGCCACTAGCACGCAAGGGGTTACAGAGGGTAGAGAAGAAGAGTAAAGAGGCGTGCTTGAGGAAAGGATAAAGGGGAAGAAGGTCAAGGCACCCCAGATGTCGATTGACATTACACTTGAATATTTGAGGATTATAGTCATCAGGTAAGCTTGCAAGAAGAAAGGGAATTCCACAGACGGAAATGCCAAAAAATGACAACATCTAAATGTGTATAGCAGCTTCTCTCGCACTTCTCGACAGTGGAACTACCTTTCTCCCACTTGCTTCCCTGATAGCTACAATCTTTAAATATTCAAATGTAATGTCAATCGACATCTTCCGATGCTTTTATCCTGATAACCGTCCTTCTATTTATCCTTTCCTCAAACACCCCTTTTTAATCTTGCTCTCACTCTATGTAACCCCTTGCGTGCTAGTGGCACCACCGCCTTGCTTGCGATTGAAATGCTTAAAAAAAGAAAATTGGATGCCACACATAATAACAGTGCAACTGATGTTGAAGGAAGAAGTGATGGACTCATGACTTTCCAAATGAGTGCCAAGAAAAGATAAATTGTGTAAATTTGGATCCGATAGTTTGGTTAACAATACAGTCTGGAGAAGATCAACTACGTTCACCTACGTTCTAAAGGGACATGGCATAAAGATATATTCTAATTGATTCGTGTTTTACGGCTTATCAACCCTTTGCAGTTTATTTAAAGCCAGAAAATATTTTTAGATTGTAAGAATTGTTTTTGGCGATAATAATAATTCACTGATAAAATTATTACAAATTAACCTATTACTGGGGGGGTAGAAGAGGTAAAGTCATAAATTTACCTAAGGCTATTTGCACGTAAGTGAATATAACAAACCCACCTAGAATTCGAACTTAGACCTCAGATTAAGCCTTTAACCATTACACCACCCGCACACCCAAGCTTACAGCACACGGTATTCCTAAGTGACCATTCATCTAGGTACTGACTAGGTTCGACGTTGCTTAACTTCGGTGACCGTACAAGATCCGGTGTTTGAACGTGATATATCCTTAAGTCCATAACACAAACAGCATATCAAAGCTTACAGCGTCTGATATTACCAAACGGTCACCTATCTATGTACTAGCCAGGATCCATGGTTCTTAACTTCGGTGACCATACGAGAACCGATGTTTTTCAACGTGATATGGCCAAAAGCCCATTATACAACCAGCACATCCAAAATTACAGCATCTGATATTCCCAATCGGTCACCCATCTTGGTACGGATCAGGATCGACGTTGCTTAACTTCGGTGACCATACGAGAAACGATGTTTCAACGTCATATGGCCGTAAGCCCATTATACCACCAGCTCATCTAAGCTTACAGCTTCTGATATTTCCAAACGGTCACCCATCTTGATACAGACCAGGATCGACGTTGCGTAACTTCACTGATCGTAGGGTGAGTTAATAGTATCGTAAAAGGAATTTGTGGAGAGCCATGATCGCTTATACCCATTACATTTTATATCATTACTTTTCAAGGGAAGGTGGATGTGGCGTACAAATTAACTGTACAATAAATACAATTTGTGGAGACCCGTTCTCACCTATATCCTAAAGAGACATCTTATAACATTGTCATTAACTTTCTATAGTATTAATTTTTAATAATAGGTAAGTTTGGCCTCACAGTTAACAGTACAGTAAAACCGTATCTGAAGTTTGAGGAGAGATGGAGTTATGCCTTTCCCAAGGCCATTAGTGTGAAAATGAGTGCAAGAGACTGGAATGGAAGTTAAATACGACCCACCGGCTCCTCCTTGTGTTCTGATAACAGTTACGTAAACAGCAAATTCCTGATTAGGGAGGGAGGGAGAGAGAGAGAGAGTAGGAGAGTAGAAAAAAGGACTTATATCCGGTTTCATGAGATTTTTAGGCCATGTTTCCACTTCACTGTCATATTTATGCAGATAAAGAATGAGAAATTGCAAAAGAGAGAGGTAAGTAGAACACAGGACGTGGAACACTCTGTTGCTACGATACGACGACAGAATAATAATCTATCCTCAAATAACACCAGGTTATTAAAAAGACTGTCCCAAGAACGATAACTGATATCGTCACACTTCTCCGCGACTTACCCACTTTTGTTGCTCTAAATAGCTTTTGAATATTGACCTTCCCATACGAACTTTTCTATATCAAGCAAATACCGATTTACACAAACATTTCAAATTATGAAACTCTTAAGATCGAAAACAAATTTATACATAAGATCGTTACCTACAAAAACATTGCTGTAGTAATGAAATAAAATTAGATCTAAATTTTATCTAAGTATAAATAGTAATTGTTACTGTTTACTACGGAAATGTATATTAAAATTGTTTTTTAAGCATTTCACCCCAAGCAAGGCAGGAATAACACTAATACGCAAGGGTTTACAGAGAGCAAGAGTAAAGAGGGGTGTTTGAGGAAAGGATATAGAGAAGGACGGATATCAGGATCAAGGCATCGGAAGATGTCGATTGGCATTACATTGAATATTTGAAGATTATAGCTATCAGGGAAGCAACAAGAGGAAGGGAGTTCCACTGTTGTGAAGTGCAAGAGAAGAAGCTGTTATAGACATTTTTTAAGCATTTCACCCCAAGCAAGACGGGAGTTCTACTATCACGCAAGGGCTTACAAAGAGTGTGATATAGAGTAAAGAGAGGTGTTTGAGGAAAGCATATAGAGAAAGACGGAGATCGTGATCAATGCATCGGATGACTGAGATGATTGATTGTTGGGATAGAAGAGGCGGTTATATTTAACTGTTTCGACAGTGAAAAGGATGGGACTGAGATGCCAGCCCTAGTAGCAACACTTAAATTCATGCATTTGGGGCACCAGCGAAAATAGCTCGTCAGAGCAGTTGCCGTGAAAATATTTATAGAAAAGACAGAGGGAAGCCACATCACGTCTGTGAGAATGTAACTGTGGACGAGATGCCGGATCAGGACCTATCACATTTCATAACATTCTCTGGATTTTCTCGAGGAAAATATTTAAGTATCTTTGACATATTTTAGTAATTGAAATAAATAACAGTAAGAAAGCGGCTACGTGTCTGAATATTTTTTTAATAATTTCACTCAACCTCACGAAGTAAATCGAAAGCCATGGTCACTTAGGTTTTGAAGATACATGGCCTAATAAAAGTTACGGAGGACATGAATATATTTCCGCAGACATTTCTTGCGATACATAACGAGGAAAGAAGGCATGGAAAATATAACACACACAGGACATTTTGAAGGCATCAGGGACAGAGGAAGCAGTGAATAACCTACCTATCTTGTGTAAATGGTTGGCTAAAAGACAACCTGAGTCAGATCTACAAAAACAGAAAGATGTGAAGAGCCATGATCGCCTACGGCTTGAAGGGACACGACACATAGAAGACAACTATCGATATCTGCCAGCTTCTGAATTTGAGCGTCTAAATAATAAAAATGTGCCTACCGGCTGTGTTCGAAACTGCGTTCCCTGGAGAGAGCATCGTTAAACATGGCATGGTTTTTGACAGGTAAGCAGCGGGTGACATTCACAGTAAAGCAATGTAAAGTTACTCTTATCAAGTAATTCGCATATCTTTCTCATAATTGTAAATTGAATCAAAGTAGTATCAAAATGAAGCATCTAAATTTCTAGGGTATATAATGAGGAAAAAGGGCTTGGAAAATTTAACACTCGCCGTACGTGCTTAAGGCAAGAGTGACCGATGAAAAGCAGTGAATAAACTACTTAACGAACCTTTATAAATGGTCGATATGAAAAAGGAGAGACAGAAAAAAATATTACTGTGAGTTACAAAGGAAGACATGGTGAGCTATGATCGCCAACGTCCTGAAGGTATATAACACACAGAAGATGAATATCGATAACCCCCAGCTTACGTATTTGAACGGCTAAATAGAAGAAATGTGCATACCGGTTGTGTTCGAAATAACGTCCCAAATATACGTGGAAACTACCGTTAAACCCGTTGTGCTTTTAGACAAACACCAAGAGACGTGCACAATCAAGCAAAGTTCAATTATCTGGAAGAAGAAAGGGTTTGTAGAATGATGACTAATATACAATGGCAAGTCAACAATTATCCGTTCAGTATCTGTCTGAGATGAGGTATTATGTACACTATTTACATTATTCGAACTATTGTCCTCATCTTTGTTGCCATATTTATTACAACGTTTCGGCCTTCCAGTATCTGTCTATATTTCTGAGAGGAGGTATTATGTACACTATTTACATTATTCGGACTATTGTCCTCATCTTCCTTGCCATATTTATTACAACGTTTCGGCCCTTCAGTATCTGTTTATATTTCTGAGATGAGGTAATATGTACACTATTTATATTATTCGGACTATTGTCCTCATGTTTGTCGCCATATTTTTTACAACCTTTCGGCCGTTCAGTATCTGTCTATATTTCTGAGATGAGGTATTATGTACACTATTTACATTATTCAGAGTTTTGTCCACATCTTTGTCGCCATATTTATTACAACGTTTCGGTCATTCAGTATCTGTCTATATTTCTGAGATGAGGTATTATGTACACTATTTACATTATTGAGACTTTTGTCCTCATCTTTGTCGCCATATTTATTACAACGCTTCGGTCCTTCAGTATCTATCTATATTTCTGAGATGAGGTAATATGTACACTATTTACATTATTCGGACTTTTGTCCTCATCTTTGTCGCCATATTTATTACAACGTTTTAGCCTTCCAGTATCTGTCTATATTTTTGAGATGAGGTATTATGTACACTATTTACATTATTCGGACTTTTGTCCTCATCTTTGTCGCCATATTTATTACAACGTTTCGGCCTTCCAGTATCTGTTTATATTTCTGTGATGAGGTAATATGTACACTATTATAATTATTCCGACTATTGTCCTCATTTTTGACGCCATATTTATTACAACGTTTCGGCCGTTGTACTCTCCGGCCTTATACAGGTGGTTGGTATGTCGAACAAAACCCTTTATTTCATAGACAAAGAACACCATTGGAAAATTCGTAAACTTAAGGATTTAGCACATATGAAAAATCTCCTGAGCCGACCAAGCGTAGAAATGAATACAATATGGGAACCAATAATAAGGAGTGCCAGAGAAAAGCGATAATAGAAACAAAAATTACAATATGAGCTCTGGTAAAAAAAATTATGCAATGATAACTGCAAAAATTGCAATATGAGCACTGGTAAATGATGGCTGAAGACATTAGGTTTATCCATACACCGATGTCCTCAAGGACACATGACACAGTGGATAAAGACATTAGTTAGATCCAGTGACAAAACAAAAAGTGTGTAAGTTCAACACCCCGGTTAAGGCAGTGAAGAGTTTAATTAACAGGAAATAAATAATCACTGACATCCATTAACAGAACAGTCTACCCCAGTGAGCGAAATAAAGGCTTTAGTTCGACATTCCAACCACCTGAAGATGGCCGGAGCGTACAACGGCCGAAACATTGTAATAAATATGGCGACAATATAAATAGTGTAATTATCCGCTCTTTAGCCATAACATATGTTTAGGTGTGCCACATTGCCATCTTACAGTTGGGACTCTTGTAGTCAGGGGATCGAAGTTTGAAGCTTTGGTCTGTCCAGTTTTCTTGCTTCTGTTACCGTGTAAACATGATATGAGAAGGTGATAGATACGCAAGAAAAGGTCAGATAATATCATAGATATCCATGGACATGCTAATGCCGGAACATCTGAGAGATACCTACAACAGATCAGCCTGGACGAGGTTGTTTGTCTGTCCCTTTCTGCACTCAGCCACGAGTAGCGAAGCAGTTGAAGAACTGATAATGATGATGATGATCTTATATATAGAAATGTATAAATAATACCCTCTCCATTACATTCATATATATATATATATATATATATATATATATATGAATGTATGGGAGAGGGTATGATTTATATATATATATATATATATATTTAAATAGGTTTGAAACGGTACAAAAAAGCGTATTAAGGCATTAAAAACTAGAAATGTAGTATTGTAGGCCATGATAAGTTTAAAATAAAACACACCAGTCGACCGGTTTCGTCCCTCTCGTCAGAACTGTTAACGGGAATTTAGATTATGAAGAAAAGAAAAAAAGTCTGTCATGGGTGACATGAATGAATGGACAGGAAGGAAAAAAAAAAATTATATATTAAAATTATACCAACCAAGCTGCTAGAATCGCAGAACAGCAAGTCCAAGCAAACAATCTCTCTGTTTGCAAAAGAGCAGGCTACCTAGACCTGATGTAAAAGCG